GAAGCAGGCAACACTCAGGCTTAAAGTCCAGCTAGGCCAGCCGAAAGCTGCCTGTATAAATCAGATTGAATGAATAATGCTTGTGTCCTTGATGAATGTCCTTTTGGAAGTGTGTTCTTATTTTTAGGTGACACTTTCCTTGCCCTACCAACCATTCCGATTTTGAATCCCACAGCAAAAATTGTCTGGACTGTCTGACAGGGAGCTGGGAAGGAGCAAAAATGTGGACTGTCTGGATGTCCCCAAGGACCGGATTGTGAAACACTTCCCGAATTAACCCATTCTATCGTCTTTGCAGTTACCGCATGGCGTCACTAGGTAGCAGTTTACAGGCAAAATGATTTGAGGTTTTAATTATAGATGGTCATTCTGTGGTAGTTTTGTTTTCTGCTTTATTCTGTGGTCCTCAATCCTGTTTTTGCTCTTGGTTATGGAAGGGGGGGGGGGGTGGCGGTTGTTGTCCAGAATTGCGCTGGCAGCTTTGTCTGGTGAAGCAAGCTTGGAAGAAGCAAGACATAATTTTTTTTTAACTCATGTTTGCTGCGTGCCATCTTTCGAGAGTCGTTGGCAGAGTTCTAATGCTGAAGCACAATCTCACTCATCAGGACTGAGATTGTCTCTCTCTCTCCCCTTTGCTACTGCCCCTCATGCTCTGAAGCTCTTTGTAGGTGTCCCTTGGGCAGCTGGCCAGATCCCTTGTGTTCAGATTGGGCCTGTGGGGGACATACTGTGAAATGGGCTCAGGCTCAGTGCCTCGTGCTGATAAGTTAATAAAGTTTGATCTTGAAGACCTCGGTCATTTGTAGGTCTCTCTTGGTGAGCTATTGGCTAATTTGCTGCTTGAGATTTATTGCTCTCTCTGTCAGTATTGGCAAACGTGGGGCCTTGTGAGCCTAGGGGCTTGTGAGTTCATAATTGGTTTATGAAGTAATTAGGCCTGCTTGGGCAATGTCACCTAGTTTTTAGGTGGAGCTTAGCCTCCAGTTAAAATGGTTTTAAAATGTTCAAGGCCTCTGTTCTTGATTGGGTTGTACCTACCGCTGGACACTAGATGGCACTGTGTTGAAGCTGCAGAGCTAGTTTTTAAAATGCATTTTCAGGCCCAGCTGTGGGCGATCAGAGCTGTGTATCGTGGGCTTTTCCCCAGATTTCTCTCTGCCCTTCTGCCAGCTGGGGGTGAGAGACTCCCCTTTGTGTTTTGGGCCTTGCCAGAGTTCGGAGCCCTTCGTAGTTACTCTGCCTGGAGCTAACAGAGCTGCTGTGGTGGTGTGGCTCGCTGCTCCAGCCCATTCCGCTCTCTGTAGTCTTTAACCATTCCTGCTACTGCTCAATCCAGAATTTCTCCTTTCAGCTGGTATAGTTTTGTGGTTCTTAATTTTATGTAGCAACTCGAAGGTTCTGAAGTCCCACGGCTCCGTAGTCTTTAGAAACAATGTCTAGGTCAAAGCCTTTTCACTCATTGCTGCTTGGCAAGGGAATGAGCCCTCAATGTTGAAGTAGGAGGACATTCCAGTTGGTGCTGTGAAGTTCAGCGCCACCTGTCCGTGACACTGGGTTCTTACAGCGGACTGTGCCAGAGGCCACACTTCTGCCAGTTAGGAGACTTCAGCAGAAACTTGGCTGATCGATGATACATGCTTAGTGGATTTAGCGCCATGCCCCTATATATCTTGCACTTTCGTCTGTTTTAAATGCCATTATGCTGTTCTAACTTTGTAGACAGTATTAGTGTCTTGTAATAACGGGAGGTTGGTGGTTGTCAGTTGCGTGTTTCTGAACTGCACCTTTCTGTCTCAGTCCTACAGAGGTGCCTTTATGCTACATTTCCCTTGTGTGTTGTCATTTGAACGTTTGACTTCTCTTCCAAAGAGAATTTAAGGATTCACGCAAGGCCCAGTGGTTACATTGGAGCTCAGCCCTGTACCAAGCGTAGCTGACCTGCTGTAGCTGCTCCATGGTCAGTGAAACGGGATCTGTGGTGTCAATGGAAGGACAGCGCTCCCGCTCATCTGCTAAGCACTACGTTGGTACTCGGCGCCCTTGAGTTGGGAGCTGGTTAGCTGAGGATTATATGCATTTATTAGCCTTAAAGATGTTTGGGAAAGCTAGGAGGAAATCTGAATGACCCAAAGCTATTGCCACCTGTGCAAACAGCCCGTCACCATCAAGCGCCTCCTGAATCTTACCCCTGTGTGATGGTTAGGCATGTAACGATGGATCTGTAAAAAATCGATGTAAATGTATGATGATTTAAACCGGCTGATGTGGAAAATGAATTGCTACTTTAGAAGTACTTCACGGTACTTTAACGGAAAAACTGGTGTAATATTACATTTGATTTCACGACTTTGTGTGGAGTTCGCACGCTCTCCCCGTTTTCGCCGGGGGCTCCAGTTTCCTCCCACGGTCTAAAAGCGTGTAGGATAGAGTGATTGGTGAGTCTAAATTGGCCCTGTGGTTGTGTGAGTGTGTGCGCCCTGTGGTGTGTTGGCGACTGCCTGGGGTTGGTTCCTGTGATAGGCTCCCCCCCGCGACCCCAGTTGGGATTAAGCGGATTCAGAACATGGATGGAAGGACGCACCGCCCGAACTTAAATCGGCGGTGTGGCAGCAATTTAGCTTTCCGGTAATCACAAACGAAAACGATTAAAGCACAAACAAGACATGCAAACACTGTAAAAGACTGATAACATACACAAATAGCATGTCCACCTGCACCAGAGTGAGCTGAGCAAAGATTATTAAAAGGGCAAATCACACTAAGCTGCACATGCAAGTCTGTTTATTTAGTTGAAGATTTTTTTTTAAATTTTGATTTGGGATTTTTTTTTTTTAAAACAGTATTTTATTCAATTTCAGTTGCACTGTTAAGAAGAGGACACGTTTTGCACAGTTTAGAAAGATAAAGGAATAGCTCATACTGCTAAAAAATCGTATCGTAAATCGTATTGAATAGTGAGTTGAGTGTCGTTACATCCCTAATGATGGTACAGTATATCAATACAGAGGGGAATACATGATTTCTCGCTGTTTTGCTGCTTTTGAGTTTGTGGTGTTCCCCCTTGGATTCTGCTGCTATGCGGTCTGCAGAGGATTGAATCCAGGTCTCCCCCCCCCCCCCCCTCCCCACCAGGCTGCCCTGATTGAGCGGGCTTATTTCCAGGATAAGAAAGTGTTCTGCAGTACAGGAGGTGGTTCTGTGGTTCTTTTGCATTGGGGACTAGCTCAGTCACCCCTGTCAACTATGACAAATGGCCGTATACTTTTGAGTTCATGCTTTCAGTTCAGTAATTTTTTTTTATTTCTTGTGGCCATGGGTTGGTTTTACTGTTTTAATTTTTAAACTTTATCAAGATAGGTATGGATAATGTATGGTGATTATAGCCTAGGTAAAGCATTGCAGTGGAATAAAAATTGAGTTCTCTTAGCAGTGCAGTGATAGTCTTCATAAGTAACCCTCCACAAAGTTTTTTTTTTTTTTTTTAAATTGTTCAAAAAAAAAATTTTCTTGCCATGTATATAGCCCTGGTTGCTGGCATGGTGTTAAGTCAACATTACACCCTCTGGGATACAACCACTCCTTCAGCTTCAGAGCTCCGTTCCAAAGACCTGGTTACGTGAAAATCTCTGTAGCCCAACCATGACTGTGACCTGAACTTATGACTTTCCTTCAGCCTTCCATACTTCGGTTTCTATTATCTTTCATGAAATGGACATTTTTAACAACATTTTGTACATTCTATTTCAAAGATCTTTTTCACTCTGGCATGCATGGTCAGGCATAAGAAGTAGAGTTGCAAATGCGCTTGTCTGTTGGACAGTGAAGTCGTTATTAGTCTTATTTGTGAATGGTCCCTAACAGGTAGACTCTAAAGAAGGAGTGATCTAAATGTGTTCTGATTTTGAACGACACTCTGGGTGGTGTGACGTCGTACAGCTGTTCTGTCACCTGCTGACCCAGGTGCTGCGTTCCCCTTCCTGTAAGCTCCCCTTTCATACCGTCAGTCAGCAGGTAGCCTGTTATTCCGACAGCAGAATTCACCGTGTTACTGCCAAAGCTGGCTATCTGCTAGAACAGCCGCTAATATGATGAAGTTCAGCATCTCACTGTGGTACTGCTGTTGTGAGGGGCTTGTTTCAAAGATGGAGAGGGGGGGCTTCATGTAAAACAGACCTAGTTACTGCATCTGAAGTAGCATGATCTTATTGTCCAAGAAATCAACATTCTGCGTTTCGAATAGTCAACGTAGCCCTCACATGTCAACCATAGCATGCAGGAAAAACCGATGAATTCCAGTGAGTTCTTTACTCCTCCTCTGCATGTCCACAATCATCCTCATGTTTACTCTTTTTAAAAATAACAGGAGGTGTCGTGATCCTACTGAAACAGGGGATCAGTCGTCGAGGAAGCTTTTCTGGGAGGGATTGTTCTTAGGACAGCTGATTTGATCCCTTTGAGTGTCTGTGTGCCTATTTATGGTACATTGGCCGCTATCAAAGCCTCGCCGTTCGGCCCATAAATGGCCGCTCTTGTGTGCCATCAGTCACCGCTGTGCCTTTAGTCTCATGTGACCTGCGCTAGAAGCTTCTGGCCTCTTTGGCTACGTTTTGAGAATGGTGTTCCATTAGTTCCCTGACCCAGGTGATGGAAGGCTCACCTAAACTCTGAATCAGGCTTTCAGTATGGGGCTCTGACACCCAGCCTGCCCACCCGATTACTTGCATGCTTATAGTTCCCCCCTCCCTCATTCTCTCGTCCCCTGACCTGATTTATCTCACCCCCGCGGTCCCCAGTTGGAAAGCACCGTTTCTAATTTTGTCCGCCCCTGAATCATCCTGACTATAGCTGCCGCATGCTGCTCTTCAGGGAGCATGTGGTTGCACTGGAGCTCGCTTGTCATTTTGCCCCCCCTCCCTTCCCCCTCCATGGCACAAGCTCAGAGCCAGTGACCTTCACCTGTCAAAAAAAAAAGGGCGTGAGGGGTTTGGCGCTCACCCATCACCCTCAGGTTCCCACGCGTCCTCCCCCGGCAGTGAGGAACAGCCTTTCTGCACTGCAGCACGTTGGACTTGGTTGACTTTGGGTCTTCAGAGAAGGAGCCGAAGCAGAGTAAGTGCCTTGTGCTTGGCCGCATTAATACCCGCCGCTGCTAAAATGAATGCCCCGCTATTCCTCTATGGATTTTCCTTCTAATTTGTAGTGTTGATGTTTTAGTAAAACTGAAACCCACCAAATCTTGTCCCTGGCTCCCTCTAACAACCTGCTTATGCGTGGCATTTGAGACCCAGATGTTAATTTCGGATGGTGGACACTTTAAAATATCCTTCTGACATAAACTCAAACATGTATTCTAGAAGTTATTACTCTACAGATATGGTACAGAATCACGTGAGTGCTTTACATATCGTCCTCTATCAGACTGCACATTTTGTCGTTGATTTGATCTCCCTCCCCAGTTTTAGCTAAATGTATTTTTCAGCCAAAATAAAATGCAAAATAAACATCAATTCGTTGTCGTATATTAACACTTGTGATGGTCTTGGGTTACTTTGAGAGACTGGGCTTCTGTAACAATGGCGTTTTCAGGATAAAACTGTGACCAAGGTGTCCTTGGTGGACAAGGAGAAGTTCCTGGGGATGAAGTACCTGCTTATAGCCCTGTTCTCTAGCTGGAGCTTGGCGGACCGTGGTATCGGCGTGCGTTCCATGACCTCCTACAGCCTTTGTTCCCCCGCCCCCGTCTTTATTTTTCATGAGTGCTGGAGCCAGCAGCCAAAGCCTTCTGGTGCAGCTGTTTGTCTTACCGCACCTGTCGTTCCTGTAAAAATCCGCTGTCAGGAGGCTAAGCCTGTTTGCCTCAACTGTCCAGAGCAGGCAGCCCTTACGCAAGCTCCTCTTTGCTCACTACGCTCTAGCAGGACTGGACACTTCGAGTTTTAATCTGTTATGGTTTCGGCTTCCAACGTTTATCCAAAAAAAAATAATCGAGATAAAACGTGTCGCATTTAGTTTCACAGTAGTGCTCCCATTTTGTTATAAATCTATCGCACCCCTTTCCTACCCATTTTTGTTTCTCAGTTGAATTATATTTGCAGTTCAAGGAAATCCACTGTTAAAAAGACAAGTCAAAAAATGCATGAATAATCGTGATCTCAGTATCGATCAAAATAATCGTGATGATCTTTGCCATAATCGAACAGCGCTACTCTCCAGGTGACTGTTTGGTAGCTCAGGCCCCGGATGGTGGCCCAGATACTGTGGGTTGCCTGTAGTGAATTGGAGCAGGTCCGGTTGAAGCCCATCTGGCACTTTCAGCAAGCTTCACTGCCGGTGCCCCCTGCCCAAGGCCAGCTGAAGCCAGCTTACTAAGCCGGCACCTTGTCAGAAGGTGGTGCCCCGTGCAGCCGCCTGTCCCACCTCTTGGGTTGACTAGTACTGACTCAGTATTCTTATACTGCAGGTAATCCTATTTTTGTGCCTCATCTAGTCACAGACCGTGCCTTAACCATATATTTCGCAAATAGATTTTTTTTATTATTGATTTATATAAAATTTATAATTACCGTGATAAATTGATTCTTGGGATTTCACTTTACTGATTATGCATCTAATTGCAGACCTAATTGTATTACATATTCAAATTTCTAGAGACAGACTGAAGCAGTAGCTATAAAAACTAAAATGCTGAACAGTTATAAATTGTTGTATGATAGTTATAACTGTTTGTACGAAGGGCAAACATAGTTAACAGGGGTTCCCTCTCCATACACTCTGCACAGCGATCCATGAAAAATTCATACCGTATGGGGAAATTAAAAGCGGCATCCTGGGCTCAGCACCAGGCAAATACAAAACATGGTTTCAGCTCGCAGGAATCTGTCACAATAACTGTCCTCCGTGGAGGAAATCTGAATGTCAGCAGATAATTGGAGGCATCGAACTTTTAGGGGCAAAGTTTTTAAGTCTTTACTGTTGGTTATAACCATGCCATGGTTGCACAAAGTTCCCATGCAGAACCGATGTATGGTGTCCTGTACAGCTGAGGATGCGACAGCTTAACGGTGTCTATGGAGCTGGCATGATAGACGCCAACACTCTGCTGCCTATTTGAGATGCTCACCAACTTGTTTAACCTTGTTTTGTAATGGTCCTGAATACCATCCTCTTCACATGCTAAGGCTTTTATGAGAGCGCCGGTGTTTAGATGCACTTATGACCTCATTTGCTATTTTCAACAGACCTGTTTATGATGTGAATTTTGGGCAGCTTACTACACGCGCTACAGTGATCTGTTTTGTAGAAATGATACCTGGGATCATCATCTCAGCCATGTGGGCCAGGCCATTCCTAGGCCTTCACGTGAAATCTGTTAGTTGACATCTCACCCCATCTCAGAATCCGATCCCTTCTGAGCAGACCTCTGCTGATGCGGTTGGGGGTTGTGGGTGGGTGGTCGGGTGGGGGTTGTGGGTGCTTCATTGAGTAAGCCTCCAGGAGGGAGCAGCTTGGGCTCAGCCATTGGTCCTTGGCTGGACGCAGGCCTTGTAGAGTTTGCCCCTAATAAACCATGATGTCACCAAGCAGACGCCCAGTTTAGCAACATCTCTCCTGAGAATATCGCATGTGTAACTGCTCTTCCTGAAGAGTGACAGCGAGCAGACGGAGGCAGTGTCTGAAATTTAATAAAATGTATCTATAGCAACATGTCAAGGGCGATTGAGGAAGGAAATGGGAAGTGAAAGTCCTCTAAGTTTGGATGTATATGTATTATATCAGACATCTTTACTTAATTAGCCTTCGTTCAGTAATGTTATTAATCTGTGCCTTAGCACTGCCGCCTTCAGTATTATGGGGATATTAATAGTGTCTCAAACAGTCTAAATGTTCCTGTGATTGTATGTTAAGGGCCAAAAACACTTTAGTTATAGGTATGTGAAATGCTGTGGAAAAGATGTGTATATAGCCATTTTTGGGTTCTGCTCCCTATGCGTGTAAGAGGACTAACTTTATCAGTGACAACAAGGGGTTTGCAAGATATAAGTAATTCAAAAATCTTTTAAAAACTTATTTTGAAAGCAGATATCAGGTATTTCGTATTCATGTTGTTTTCATGTCATTTGATACCACATTGGCACTAGGGGTGCGAATCAGCAGTGACCGCCCAAATCGTCATAGATTTGTGTCGATTCAATGTATATCGCAATTTTTAGACAGATTTTGCTAAAGAACGCTTCAGCCCTACATTTGAAGTAAAGACGAGGACTATGATGGTACACCTTTGGGTTACCACATTTTCAGTTTTGAATGTGCAAGGAGAGTGCGAGTGCTAGAGTGTTTAGTGACTTGTAGGAAAAGTCTCTGCACATGTGTACTCATTTATGATGGCACTGTGCAAACCTGCGCATGTCATTCCCTTAAAATCAGGCTGTGTGCAACTGGGCATATATATTAGCTAGGGGTGTAAATCACAGCTTTCCTTGCAATACGATACAATCCTGAACAACGGTTCGATTTTTTAATTTTATTTATTTATGTATTTTTTGATACCTTAGAAATTCCCATGATACGATTCAATTCAGTTCGATACTGGGGATAGTAGTCGAAATGATGAAATTTCACATAATCCTTTACATTTCAATGAATTAAAAAAAGCAAATATAATTAGCATGTTATATTTTATTGGGAACTGTCTAGTGTAGCCAAGTATGTCCCATAAATCAAGCAAAAAAAAGTGCAATAAGGTAAAAATAAAAACTTTGGATGGTTGTAGATTAACATGGTGACATTATTATTATTATTATTATTATTATTATTATTATTATTATTATTATTATTATTATTATTATTATTATTATTTTTTAATCAAGTCTTCTCCAGACAAATACAAAAGTGTAACCAAAAGTATGTCCATTACTGTCATGACCTACAAGTATGACCCTCTCGTGTGCTATGCCCCTCATTAACTTCGCGTGCAATCCCGATTGTTACCAGCTGTTTCTTATTGTTTCGTCTAGCCCTGTGTATTTAAGTCCACGTCAGAGTCTGTCGCCCAGATCTGTCATTGAACTTTTCCCCGTGTTATGTGCTGTGCTTGCTCCCCCCCCCCCCCCCCCCCCCCCCCCCCCCCGTTTGTTCGATTTCCGTCTGCCTGACCCTGATTCCTCGTTCCCTGCTCGCTTGCTCTACGCTGGGATACAACAATTACAAGTAAAATAAAGTGCAATAAAGTCAAATAAACATTGTCAGACATGTAGAATGAGGAAGATCGATAAATCTATACAAATCAATGTATTGTTATACCCCTAATATTAGCAGTACCAAATGTGAACTACCTAAAATCGTGTTGAAATTGCTGTTTCTTTTATGACGATATTAAAATCGCCACCTTGAAGAATTGCAATTTGTTAAAGAATCATTTCCCACCACCCATAATTTGCACCTTTTTTTTTTTAAACAAAAGGTAAGACTGAATGTACCTGAAAATGGTACAACCACAAAAGAATGAATCTTAAATATTTTATCCATCTGAGTAAGTGTACTTATACAAATAATTCATTTTAAAATCACAAAAACAAGGTTTTTAGATTTTAGCTGAATTATCACTACATATAAATTTGACACGTTTTGCAATACTAAGTGGTGCGATATGTGCTGAAAACACCTCTAATCTTTGACAAATGTAAGAAATTTTATTTTATTCCACGTTTAATTTTCCCATATCAGTTTTATGAAATACTGGTTACACCAAGTAAGTTACAGCACCTGACCATGTTGCTTCTTCAGTCAAAGGCCATTGCTTGTTGAACAAACTGACGCTGAACATCAGGCATGACAGTCAAGGTCAACTGAACTTGCTTTATCTGAATGTATAAAAAAACATGCAAAGAATCATGAACTTGTCTTCAATTGATATTTTTAGCTAAAAAAAAAAAATCTAGCAACAGTGAATCCAGCTAAAAACATGCGCGCTCACGCTCACGCTCCCTCTCACTCTCTCTCTTTTCACACTTGGTTTCAAAATGCATCTTGAGCAATCAGATCACAAGTATACAGCACTAAATACAAGTGTAAACGACTGCCAAGACATTGTGATCCGATCACCGAAACCACTTACCAAGGTGTTCTGGGACCCCATGTTTTGTAGTTTAAACATTAATGTGTCCTGATGCGTCCCTGACAAGGATGTCACAAGAAAATACGTCATCAGTGCAGGATATGGTGGTGGTTTTGGTGACAGCAATTCTGGAAATAATGGAGAGGAGACTGACGTATGTGGTTGGAGTGCAAGTGAAATCGGATGCTGCATTTCCATTTAGGCAGATGATTCAGTCTAAAGAGAACTAGATGATTCCTATCGTAACCTGCTTGTCTGGTAAAGGAGACTTTTGTAATATCTGAGTGCAGGGCTATTTGACCTTCTAGCAGAAGTAATGTTGACAGTAACAAAATCTAAACAGAAGTAGTCAGCTGGACACCTTGGAGATGCTTAATAGATACGCGGAGATGCATGATCGATTCTGGTGTAAATGGCGACATGTCTTGGCTGTATACTTGTAATACTGTACATACGCCCAAAACGCACTTTAAAAGAAAGTATAAACGGTGCCTATATGTGTGTGTGAAATGTCTGTGCACGCACACGTCCACATGTTTCCATGTAAACTACTTTTCACTTCTTTTGGTAGGGTAATTTGCCGTAGCAGTAGAATCTGCATTCACTTTTACTCTGTGACAAGCCACTTTTTCCTTACTTGAAAGTGGCATCTATTTGGGGAAAAGATGCTGTATTATATTGCATTAATTATGAAATGGCAGTGGATATTTTTAATATTGTATTTACAAATGTAATTGGTTTTTTTTAGTAACGTTTCTGCAATTTATTGAATTATTGGAATTTACATCATTCGACATTTCAGTTCAAGATCAAATGTGACTGGCATTATCATGGACGGTTATGTAAGCACATGGCCTTGGTGTGAATGTCTCAAACATAATTTTTAAGGTAAATACAAATTTTCATAATGATGAATTGTAAGTGCTTTCCTGTTTGGCCATTTGACATGTAAACTTAAGCATACCTGACCATACTCTAAAAAAATGTCATTATCTGATATTTTAAAAAGTTACTCACTTTGGCTTGGAGCACTGAGAGACAAACCCCTGATGACCCTATTATTTCATATTGCATGGATTTCTTGCACAATATGAATCAAATGGCTCTTTGAACGGTGGTTACACCTCCTTTGCGCTAAAGGAAGTTGACCTGACTAACATGAATCCCCAAATTAATTTGAATATTCAGAAAAATAATTTTCTATTATGTTATTTTCTATTAAAACAGCTCTAATATGAGATTATGATAAACTAGTTGATAGGGTGTTTTTATTGAGAATTTCACATTTTTAAAGCAACTTTATTTGAAACTTTTAATCAAAATTGATTAAAACACGAAATTTCACACTTGGTCCTCAGAAAAGAATGTATTCAAGTAATTTTAAAGGTAATTTTAATACCTATAAGTAAAGTATATGGACAAAAAAAAATTAGCATCACTTTATTGTCCCAAAAACTTAAGTTCATTGCATTGGTCTGTAAAGTGCTCAGCCAACTTAAGCAGATAGTTTTCATCCATCCATGTGACACTGAAATGCTTTAACAAGCACTTATCAGTCATGTTCCTCCTCTACATTTATTGGACATCTTCTCTCGCGTATTTGCATTCATTGCGTTTTGTGTAATGCTATGATTCACACCAGTCTTTCTATTCCTCTTTATTTCCACTCTTTCCTCTTATTTTTGTTACTTTCATCGAGAGGGCTGTCGTTTCATGTAGTGCAGATGAACAGTGCGGCGCGTGAAGACTGCGTTTTCACTCCTGTGTTTGGGTTTTTATTGACTTCAAGTGTTTCCTGAGCACGTTGTGGTCACTGATCTTTATCCGAAGCGTGGACCTCATTGAAGACCAGCGGAAGTCATGACTGGTGAACGAGCTGGTAAGAGTGATAAGTGGAGCTGCCATATGAGACCTGATGAGGCAGGGCGGTAATGTGGTATTTCTTGTTGCTATTCCTGAGCATGTCGCGTTGACTGCCAGCCCCGTGTTAGAAGAAGGTTACCAACCAGCTGGTGGAAATCTGGTTGGGGAGCCTCGTCATTCCTTTTGTTGTTTTGACTCTCAACTTTCAAACATGCTGTTATCTTTAATTGCTAGTGATGTCAGCTGATGAAGGATTTATGTCTGCGTCTGAACGTCTGATTGCACGTTGGCCAGTGTGGGATAGGGCTGTCAAGACGTCTTCAGCGCTTAGCTTCCCTGTCATTTTGAGGGGGCTGGTGGCATCTCACCACTGGAAGTGTGTCATAAGAATTTTTGCCTAGCTGATTTCAAAGCATACATTTGAGATTAGCTAGCTGTTAAGTGTCAGGTTGATTTTAGCGCGCAGTCTTTCTGAATCACGAAATGTCCTCAGTATTGTAAGACTTGACTCTAAGGGCTGCATTGTTTTCATGGCATCTGTGAGGCCAAACAGATCCAGAAGCATGTTACTTGGTAGTATAATTTGTTTTCCCACTTGTTTATCCGTGGTTCAGTTCTAGCCTGCGGGTGGTTTTCATGGGTTATTGAGCCTCTGAGATGGGCTTGCAGCTTTCTTCTGTGCTGTCCTTTCACTGCCTTTCTCTGCTAGCAGTGCTGGCTCAGTTTGTGAATTCCAGGGCTGGCACTGGAACAGAAAAACGTCCTCTTTGAAAGCGACAGGGAAATGGCATGGGGGGGGGGGTGTAATGTTTGCAGAGGTGGAAATTCATGAGGCCGTCATGTGCAGGTTAGGAACTTGATGCTGTGATGAAAGGCTGTCCTCGGCTCAGGGGGGATGGGACTCTTGCCATCCTGAAGGAGAACTTTCATTGTAAAACGAGGGAGTTTAATGATCATCAGCTCGGAAAGTGCCCCTCCTGAAATAGCATATCTGTATTTATTTTGTTTTACCCATTTAACAAAGCTCTGTCGTTGCAGATTTGACTTAAATCTCCTTGAATAATGGTTTTATGATTATAAGACTGGGCTGTATGCTACAGGTCCTCTTCTGTTGTACATCTGCTGTATCCATCCAGTGTTTAGTAACTGCATATCCCGTTTGAGTTCGAGTCCAGCAGATCCTGTCCCAGGGAATCAAAAAAGCAGATGCTCATTAAAAAAAAGTTGATTTTAATCACACATCTTTACTATGAGAAGAAATGTTAGAATCTGCCAAATTTGCAGCCTGGAACCTACGGTGTGCTAACTAACTACCCGAGTGTCTGATTGGCTTTGAGTTTGACTTCGGTGGTCCTCCTCATTTTGGTGTCCTTTGTGAATGTTCTCATGTTTAAATTTATACTCCTGCTTCTTTTTCCAGCTCTCTGTTCCAGCATTCTGGTTTAAATCTGTGAAAGGGAGCATTTGTTATGTTACCAATATGGAGACGGATTGGAACAGTGGAATTTGGAGAAACAATTCGAGACATTGGGCAAATGCATCCCCAGTTAGAAAAAGGGCTCCATTCATACTGTGAATTTATACCTTCTGTTATCGATGTTGAGTGTAACATATGTGATTTTGTGTAAATTCTGGATATTGATGGATACATGACCAGCATGAGTCAGTGTGCTGTTTTTGGTATAATGGAACCTCACTAAGACTTGGTGCTAGTAATTTATAAGTTTTAGTTTGAGTACTTCAGCTTGTATTTCCCTCTGCTCTGCTGAAGCTGTTTTGTTCAGTACTGCGTGGCGCTAAGAGACCAAGATTATAACTTTTCTCTGCACTTACCAATCCCCCCCCCCCTTTTGTGGGCTGGGGCTGACTCCTAATAAAGGCAGCTGTGGACAGGAAGTGGCATGGGCCTGGTCTGGGTGAAGAGCTCCATCCCTGGAACGTGCTGACAGCTCCGCTAAGTAGAGGCTGATACGTAGGTCACGTTGGCAGAGAGCTTCTCATTGGGCTATTCCATGTGTTCTGATAGGGTTCACGCAGGTGTCCATATTTGCCTTCAACCTGAAGTAGAATTCCAGTCATGCCAAAAACTTGGGCTGGAGCTGTTGGTCTTCAAGTGTCCACACCTTCTGAGCTAAGTATGTAATTTCCCATTATGACACACTGCATGTGTTCCTACTTCACCATGTAAATAAAGCTCCTTGCTCATGCATACTGCCAGTTCTCTTTGGCCACTCCCACCGTCCCCTGACATGCATAGCGTGAAATGACAGGGTAAAGCTAGTTGGTTTCCATAACATTTTTGAAGACCGCTGTAATACGAGGTCCTAAATGGTTCAGGTCGTTCAGCCACCTGTTGCCATGACTATGCCGTTGACAGGTGAGCAACAAAGCTCACTTTGAACACCATGGTTCATTCCCACTCAGAAAGCACCTGACCGCACTGATGGTCATTGTCCGATTATGTAACGACTCGATATGTTCTATTGTTTGTGTGTGTGGCACTCATCAGCTTTTGAAATGGGCTGAGAACCTTTGTGCTGCACTGTGTGAATGCAGTACTGATTAGGGCCATTGTTTGGGGCGGAGCTTCAGACAAAGGCAGAAGACTCATCGTAATTATGCACAACCCAAACAACCACTTGTGAACCATTCAGCTAAAAGCTGGTTTGATTCTCTGAAACGCTGAACCTAGGACTGGCTGACCCTTCATTGATTTGTGGGTGGATCATCCTTTCCAAAATTCTCTCTGCCCTAGAATTATGTCTCTGTCTATGTTTCTCAGATCTGAACAGCCAAAACCAAAGGTTTTGCTCTGACTCCTTTCTCATTTGATGTGAAGTATTCCACTAACAGATCATTGAGATGGTTACTAGTCTTTGAATCAGTAATTCAATGACACATAACCTGGCAGACAGATATGTGTAGTAGCTTTGCCATTTGAAGATGAATGCACTGTGTGATCAATATTAACAACCTATATAGCTCAATGCCATGGATCAAAACCTAATGAATACCCTGGAGCTGGTATACGTCCATGAAGAAGCAGCTAATAGACTCATGATTCTAGATGTTGAGATGGCCTGAAGAGACATTTGTCCAGGGAACGCTTACTGGTTCTACCACCAAATAATCTGCTTGCCGTTTTTAACCTGTTTACCTGTACTTGCTGTGTGTTACCCAGCATCCTCGATGAGTGAGCTGGTTTTTCACATGTGGCTTTCCAAGTTTGGCGGGCTTGAGGCTGTTTCTGGAGGACGCCTAGGCTTGAGTCATTCTGTTTTTTTCCTTCTCTCCCCCACCCCGCACCCTGTGCTGCTCTCCTGGCCCATTTGTGTTCTGGAGAGCCGAACAGTTCTTAGGCAGGGGGCTGAAGTGGAAATAACATTGGGAACGTTCTGGCAGACCCGAGGGCGGAATGTTCTGTGAGGTTCCACAAATGGAGAACTCTGTTCCCCGGGAAGACCTGGATGCAAAGATACTGGTGAATTGTGTATCTTTGAGTCAGAACTTAAATTTAAATGCGTTTGTGAAGTTTAGTGAATATATCATTTTAGAGCATGACAGTTAAGATTTCAAAACCTGAAAGCCGTCTACCCAGTTAAGACTTAAGGCGCTAGAGTTCTGTGCCTTAAATGTTACTTTTAGTTTCTGTAAAACTTTACAGCATCCAGTTAGGGGAGGTATGCTAGCAAGGAAACAAGCAGCCCAGCTATGCATCAGACAACATTATGTGACATCTAGCTCGGCCAGTAGAAGGCCAGCAAGCTGTGTCACCCTGAGCTTGACCTTTGACCTTACGACAGAGCGTCACTTTTATTAGTGCCTTGCAGTCACCCTCTGTACACAGCTCCTGTTGAGTTCTGGGGGAGAGGGGGCTGAATTGATGGCAGTTAATAGCTTCCACCCCACCCAAAAATGTGATTCTTTATCTGGCTCTGTCCTTGGTATGTCTGGCTTTTTAAATTTGCTTTCATGCTTGGAAGCAGGGGAAGTGTGAGGTAGTAATTTTAAAGAGTTGCTTGGCTGTTTTTATGGTCTTAAGCACATGCTGTCTCCCTGCTGAAAGGTGGATATGAGTGGGCATGCGGTCAGTCTAGGGTATGACTGCTGGATGACCGTTGACAAGTGGCCAATCAGTGCACCCGTTACCTTATTAGGGCGTGTTGCTTGGGTCGTGAGCCTGGGGACTGGCTAAGCTTGATCTCCTGTGTGTGTGTGTGTGTGTGTGTGTGTGTGTGTGTGTGTGTGCGCGCGCTTGTGCATGTGTGTGCTTGTGTGTGTGCGCGCGTGCAGCATTGTAGTTTTGTCAGCTTTGTTAGTTGTGTACCTTTTTTTTTGTTTTGGCCTGCATATAGGTCAAACATTTTGCCATGTTTGGGTCTTGCCCAATACATCCAGTACATCAGTATTTAGTGTTTGGTGTCTTTACACATTTGGTCCAATTCTTGGCTTGATTGAGGGAGGATGGCACTGATTTCCACAGAGGGAGGGCAGTCAAATGGACCTTATTTATATTTTTAAAACCACTCAAGGCTCCTTTTGCATAATCCTTGTGCTCCAAAGTGTTCTTGACCCTGAGGTCTTCAGAGTGTCTTGCTTGTACCGAGTGATTGTTGGACTTATTTTTAATTTGCATACCTATTTGAATTTATTGGTACAGAATGGAAGCCAGTTGTGTCTCAGCCAACAGGCTTCCCTGTCGCATACTTGCCAGGGCCATCTGTCTTGCTTACTCTAAATCTGGGTTATCTTCTAGAGAATTCCATCTCAAAGATATGTTGGGAGGCTGTATGAGAATACATTTCTAAAATGAATTCCCCTTCCTCCTCTTCCTTCCTTCCCCTCTTCTCTAGCCTCTGACTGTTTCAGAAGAGTATGAAGTGTTTTCACACACCCAAGTTACGGAAATTGGTCACGCAGCTCGGACTTTAGAACATCAGGGTCCTGTATCAAAGGCTTGTTGGAGTTCACTTCAGCTGTCCTCTGGTGACCTGGCTCTTACGCTGAATTGCTTTTTCCAGGCAATTCCTGCCAAAAGAATCACAACGGCAAATACAATCTTGACACCCTCTGTTTCTGGTTCCAGTTCTAGTGAATTCTCTGGTGGTTCTAATATGGCCTGCTTTCTGTGCCTTCAGTGGACTTGAGTGTCCTGAAATGGGGCAGGAAGATAAAATCTGCATGGTGTCAGATCTCTGGAGCACCTTCACACTGCATCTGACACATCAGGCTCATTAAGTGGGTTGATACTGTTCCTCGGAAGCTGCCTTTACTGGGTAAAAGGATAAATTCCCACACTGCTGGTATTTCTGTCTCTGTGCCACTGGGCCTGATTATCAGTGCCAGCAGCTGTGGTGAGAATGGCATATTCCCACTGCCTGGTTATGACCTGGAGTAACTTCAGCTTGGCGTGCTTTAATTACTCATACCGCTATTGCGTCTGCCTGTATTATGGCTTGGGAGGGGTGGTCTTTATAGGAGGCTGGTCATTGTGGAATATCTCTGAGCTGGAGATATGCAGAGCTGCAGTTTATGGAGTTTTTTCGATTGGGGGGGTTGGGGAAAAATACTTCTTTGTAACGAAACAATAGATGGGACTGCAGCCCAGATCTCACCCACCCCCCCCACCCCACCCGGTCCACTTAAAGGTTTCAACACTGCATTCCTGTCACGATGTGTTTCAGACCATCTGCCCCCGCATCAGGCCGAGGGGCTGGGTGATTTTTCAAGTTATTGATGGTGTTAAATTTGGGTCTGCTGGTAAGGTAGCTGGACTAAAATGTAACATGCTTTTGACTCATTTGAGGCAGGGAGTTTTGAATTCAGCCTTATGACTGTGTTTTTAATGTGTTCATTGTCCGTCTTCCTTAAATTAACCGAAATGACCTGAGGAAGGAAGCTTTGTGAAGGATGTTTCTGAATGACGGTGGTTAGTCAGTGTTCACATTTGAGCAGATCTTGGTTTTTACGTGACCTTTTGTGCCCTCAGAGCTTCTCTCTGGCCGTGAGTACAAGGGTAAGAATACAGGAATCAACCTTTCAGGAACGATAAGTATTACTGACATGTGACTAGGACAGGTGAAATTTGTGAGTGATGTGTTTGGGACTTTCTAGGGAATGTTCTGGAACCACAAAAAAAAAAAAAAATTGTATTCCGAAGGCAGCCATTAGCAGTGACTGGCACCAGCTTGGTCTGGGATGGGGGGTATTTGGGGGGGGGGTGTAATCAACTGCTGGAAGACTTTTTGTAGGAACAATTTGGGAACAGGGCCCCGCCTAGTTTAGAATAAAGTGTTATTTCACATGGGAGGTGCAGGTATTTTTTCTTCGGCAGGACAGTATGTCGTCTCCAAGGCCCCACTGGGACAGAGCAGGTGGTCTCTTCCCTTGGCTGTCTCTGGCAGCAGTCACATTTGCTCCTGGCGATTTCAGACACTTGTGTAAATGGCTGTACACTTTTGCACATTTTTATGTTGTGAAAATGCTTTAGTGAATACCTGCGCAAGGTAAGCGCGTGTGTCTGTGTGTGAGGGACTGAGAGTGAGTGAGCGCACTGCCACACTCAAAGAATCTGAAGTTTGTGTAGCCTTATCTAAAGATCGTCAAAGCTTTTTAGCCTTTTTTTTTTAATTGAGGAAATGGTGTGCTCTGGTTTTAAAGCTGAACCATATGTCTTAATTGTCAGATCTTAATCTTATTCACACCCCACACTGAGAAAGTCAGGAGGTCTGAATTTTGCCTAAGTTTGTCATCACAAACAAGCATCACTTGGCTCTGTTGGTTAGCCTTATGCCTGACTTGTACACCAGCGTTCATAACAAGTCTCTAAGTTTGTTTACTGGGCATGACTCAAGTTCTGTCACTGATGACAGAGATTTAGCATTTTTTTTTTTGGTTGCATTCCGTGTCTGCGAGTTTGAACATGTTCACGTCACGCCGACTCATGGGAGTGTCTGTGTACCCAACGGTGGAGGAGGTGGGTCGGGAGCATGAGGGGGGGTGAAGAACGTAGATCCTGTGTGTTTGTTACTCTCCATAAATCTGCAAATTGAGAGCTTTTTAGCAGCGTTCAGTTTTGCCTCCTCTTGGGATGGTACACTCATTTAGCATAACGATACGATTAGTCAGAGTGAGTCGTCTTGCAATCTCTCTCTCTCTCTCTCTCTCTCTCTCTCTCTCTCTCTCTCTCTCTCT